TCTGACTTTTGCGGAAATCAGGGCGCCAGCGAGGGTTACTGATTCCCTAGAGGAGGATGAACTTCCTTGGGGAGGTTCTGTGTGCGCCAACAGCAGATGTCTCGGCCCACATGACCCTTCACCCCTGAGCCTCTAAATGGATAGGTTGGGGCAGGTGATATATCCATAGCACCCAGTAACAGAGCTCTTTGGCTCATCAAAACGCAGCGACTCATGGATTACAGGCGATCTCCGGCTATATCTCGCCCTGCCTGAGAAAAACCCTCGGCTGATGCCTGACACTCAGGGATCCATGATGGGATAGCAAGGTTATTTGTTTGGCATAACCAAGGATCATCGGACATCTAGCAGCAATTTTTAGACCATAAATGGGTAAAGTGAGCCGGAAAGAGCGTAAGATCCTCTCGGGAGTTACCATATTTCATGACCCCCTTAGTCAAGATAGCCCAGGTAAGCACCTATTAACCTTTGAAGATTAGCTTGGAATGACGCGGCTACAGCCCATGACTAAATGCATCATCTGCTATCCCCGTCAGCTATAAACGCGAATGTAATTCCATTAAAATGGCCTCCGAACCAGCTCTAGGCCAGCAGACCCCTAAAGTGGTCCCCACTTACTTCTGCGCAGTTCTCGGTCAAAAAGAGGCATGACATCGACCGCGGCAGAGGTTGGGCAGATGGCTTGGCAGGTGGCCAGCTACTTTGCATACCGCGCGCCTATTCTCTGTGTTTTTTCCCGGTTCAGCGCTCTCCACCGTAGCACATGCTCTATGCATACTCTCTCACGCTCCGCTCTCCTACTCGGTCAAGCTCTCTTAGCCTACCGAAAACTTCGTTCGTTGCTAGCAATATGGTAGCATCTGCGTTGAGGCCTAATTCGATTGTGCTAATAATTACAAGAGCCCGACGAGATTGTGTCACATCTGCGCCGTGCTTAGCTACAACTTACAAAGAAGTTGCATATAGGCCTGGTGAAACGATGTGATCAAAAAACGGGGATTACGGTAGTCGAGGATGTCCGCAGCCGCAGATTAAGTGAACAATTGCACTGTGAACGTAAAAAGACATGCGAGAAATGGAGATCAAAAAGTGACGTTCAAAAGCAACGGATAGACCTATGTGGCCTTAATGACCTAGATGAAGGCGCCTTTTTGGCCTTGTAGTTGAGCGAGGAAAAGTTGAGCCAGCATTTGTTGATTGAACATTGGTGGATACGGGAAAACATGGGGTTTAGGAGGCATAAGTCCCTCGGGCAGTAGAAACGGTTGATTAGCCATGGCTGTGGCCGCATTGGTGGTGGTCGTGGCAGCCGGTGATGGTTGGGTTACATTTTCAGCCGCTAGACTGACCGGCAGTGTAAGTGCAGACGATGCCATGGATGTTACGACTGTTGAGGCGGTAGTTGGCGACGACGGTGAGCTGCTGGTGGCGGTAGAGGGCTTGGCGGGTGAGATTGGTGGAGGGTGGTCAGCTGCACGAGCCGCTGCGGCTGAGGCAGTGAGCTGGACCAGCGCTTCCATCATGGATCTGAAAAGGGTAACGATATTTCAAAGGCTTAAATATCAGAGGAAAATGCAAGTTTCATAATAACCCTTCAGGAGCATGAAATTAGAAATAAAATCGAGCGATTCCAGTATTTGGGCTCCATTCTCTTGTTATGAGAAGCTGAGGTTAGAGGTCTTTTGACTATAACGTGCATACTTTTCCCGCAACTGCGGTCGCGTCGCGGCTATCGTCGGCTATCGACCGACGCAACGCGACCGCATGCGACGTATAGTGAAAGAAGACCTCTAATCAGCAGACGATTCACCCTGAACCTGTACAAAAGCTTTGAAAATGAAGACTAAAGGCTTACTGTGGCATTAGCGGCATAGGTGTCATATGCTGTTGTTCTAAATTGCGTAAAGTGAGATCCAACGGTGATTCTTCCTGGTCCATGAGGACTTCGCATGCGTGGTGGAGGCGGAGCCTAAAATCCAAGCGGATTATAATGTGATTAAAGGCCTGGTGAAAGCTTGTTCAAGTCATATCTATTCAGACCAATCAATTACCGTATCGATAGTATACTAGATCTAGGGTCTAGGGAGTTCAAGAAACTCCTACGGTACCTTTACGCCTTTTCGGCTGAGTTTCTGCTGTATAGGATCGGACATCCGGAAAGACTTCGATGTGAGGTGCGATTACTGTTCACATGACCTTTCCCAGTACAACCAGGTGTCGTACATCTGAGTACCGTATCCTGTTGCAGGGCGAGCACTGAAACCAGCCAAATAACGTTTTCTAATCTAATTCTGGTCACGGTTATCTGCCTGCGCACTTAAGAAAGTCCCATCCACGTCGCGCGGCAGAAAAAAAGCGATGACAACGACTGCAATTGTAGTTTGATGTACGGCCCTCAAGCAAACAAAGACGCCGCGTAATCAGTCACTGACTGATCGCAACGCGGCGCCGCGCGCGGCACCTAACCGTCGACTCAATCTCGCCATACTCAATGAATGCATGTAAGTAGACACAATGACAAATCGACACCGCTTCAGCTACCGTAGTAGTTGTTAATATGGCCGAGGCACCACACATGGGATTCAATGTACTCACTCTGAATGGTCGACTTGTCGGGGCGTCGTGGGCAGCCGGATAGACTTCGGTGGTGGGTGTAGAGACCGGTCTGATGGCCGCTGCCGTCACAGCCCGGCGTCGGACACGCCAGCTTTCCTTCTGGAACAGCTGAGCACGGTTGAGTGATTCAGAAGGTCAAACAGACCGCAGAACTCACCTCGTCGAGCGCTCCAGTTCACACTTGGTGATGGCATCGATGGAGTGCCCATACTGGGGCTAGCCGATCCGGATGGTGGCAGTGACGAGGAGACGGGAGTTTTCGGCGGCGACTGGAAACAAAGGCGATTCGCATCTGATTAAGTGGCACACGATTAAGGGTTTTCAGTACTACTTACAGTCGCCGTTACTTTCCGTGGTCGACGCGCCTTCGTCTTTGTCCGTTGCGGCTATACGTCCATCAATGGACATGCATAGCATCTCCGGCTCGACTTTCCTCGGTGAAACGAAGCTCATATCAATTTCTGTGCTCACTGAAAAGGCGAACGTGGAAAGGTCAGTACTAGTGTTTCGTGAACGTCATCGAGAACGGCAATTTGCACAAGGGATTAAATGGGCTACTACTAGGTTGGTTGGTTACGTCATCTCTGCACAATTATCCTTTTCCTACTCCCTTTAGCACTGAACTTTTGTTGGAATGCCGTTCTAAAGTGTACAATCCAAGACCCCCGGAAGTAAAGAAGGGTATCCTTCTAGGTTTCCTCTAGCCGATACAAGTTTTACCCGGGTAAAGGCCAGGTGACGTGGTAATTGGCAAAGAAAAACCAACATGAACTCGGACCACCTACAAAAAAGTCTCCATAATTACCATGGATTCGTTGGGATCACGCAGGTCATTCGGCGATGCTCTGCAAAGTAACCCCTTCACTCGCCGATACTTCTACCAGGACCCTAAAAAGACCTTCCAGATACTTTAAGGATCTACAAAGGCAATGACTTCCCTTTTCATGCAGCTGTACAGCCAAAAACGGCACCATTCGGAAATCTGGCAGCTTAATTTCGCGGTCAATTGCTGTCCCATGGCTCAGGGGTCACGAGGCCTTTCATCGCTCCTTTGTCGCTTTGCACTTAACTAGTAAAACAATCCCAGTACAGCAGGAACGCCTTTCACGTTAAATGACGCGCAAAATGGAGCACTCTAGGCAGTGCGATGGCTATCAGTTGATTATTGATTTCAAGCAACCATGACTTGCCCCCAGCAGAACCCGAACTGTCAGCTAACCTCTTCGTCTTCCTTCACCAGCTCATGCTCATCAGCCTGCGATTCAGCGGCTGTGGGCACCTCATCTGACGGAGCGGCATTCTCGGAATTGCCACCACTGTCGTCGTCCTGTACGTTGTTCCTCGACGACACGAACGATATCCTTGGCTGAAATGAGGACATGAATTCGTACAGCAGTGG